ACACACACACACACACACACACACACACACACACACACACACACACACACTTTGTGGCTTCTGTCCCTTGATCCATTAATCGGACTGGCATGGGCCGATCCCCCCATCGGATGACTGCGGGGGACTGGCATCGCTATCCAGGTCATCGTCACTGATGATAGGCTTCTTGCGAGCCTTAGTCTTGCAGCATCCGTGCTGCGACGCAGTCTACTCGTCTGTCCTTTTTTTGTTTGGCCTTCCAGGGCCACGTCGAGGTGCTTTTGGGGACTTTTCCATGGCTGGCTTCCTCTTCCTCCCTGCCCTGCTCTTCCACAGGTTGTCATGGTGGAGAGCATCGTTCATTTCAGGGAACGGGGGCGTGCCGATGTCCTCTTCTGCCTGCTGCTCGTCGTGCTGCTCCTGCACCCGCTCGGTAATTGCAACATGCTCGTCGGTGGTCTCTTCCTTCGCTCCCACTTGTGGCTCCACGCATGAGCGGGGCCTGCGAATGTACACCACACCTGCTTCCGCTGCGTCCGCAGGCTCGGCGTGGAATTGGAAAAATCCCAGTACCATTGATTTCCTGTTCAGAAAAATAACAAGAAAATAAGTATAGAATCTCTGATCACAATACGAAGGGCCTAGAGAGACGGAGAGCTGGTGAGAGCTAGGGCAAAAGTATAAAGAGGGGCATTGGAGACAATCAAGGGAAGAGGGATATGGGTAAGACCCTGGGGGAAGGAAAATTAACAGAGGTAAAACTTCTGATGCCTCGAAAGAGCACATTTACTATTCTGATATTAGACATGAAAGGAGGAAGGTGCCTCAGAGGACTGGTAAATTGTGGCAATGCGTTTCTGCAAGAAACGATCCCGCTGTTGGTGTTTATGGCAATCCCAATGGTGCATGGTGAAACTGGTTTTCTCTTAGAATATGAGCATATGAGAAAAGCGTGAAAACTTGTGAAAAGGAATTATGATTGCAAACTTAGAGTGAACGGTGGAAAAGATACTTAGCAGGGACTATACCAACTGGGCTGTGTGATGGAACAGGAGGCAATTTATGGATGGATTCATTGCTCTCTGGGTGGGATTGTTGCTGAAGACATCCTTGGTCTAGGTCTATTTTTTCACAGACGCAGTTGGAGTGGTTGTGATGAGCTGATAAGGAGGGGTAAATTGGTGATTTTGTTTTTTATTGTGACTGTTGCAGACACATGATGAGGAGACAAAGAGCTTCTTCAGGCATTCGCGCGTGAAGTGTGTGCTTGCCACCCGCAATGCTGACTCAAAGCTCAGCTACTTTAGGCAAGGGGTATGTCTTTTGGTCTATTGTTTGTTTGTTTTTCAATTCTCTGTGCTTCTGCGCAAAGGTGTTGTTTCTCTGTCACAGGTTAGTCAATAGCATGCACGTGCCGTGTGGTTGTTTCGAAATGTGTCCCTTGTGAAGTGGCAATGCTTGCCCTAATGCCTGTTTGAGAGCATCAAACTTCATTTTCAACGCAATGTCACTAATTTTTATGTGATTTAGTTCTTTTCGGTGCTCCCTAGTATTCCATGTTGGGAGTATTATTCTTGTCTGTCATGCTTTTATGTGCCACTGTATTTATTTTTCTTGTCAATCTTTACTTCCACCCAGGTCTCGCTCTTGTTTTTGTTCTTGCAGGCTTTGGTCACCTCTCCTCCATAAAATGGGTATCACAACTTATCAGGTGCCATTTAATGCATTACCTGGATATCCATTCTGCTCTCAGGTCTTACCCCTTAGTCTAAATTATTGGCAGGGCGTATAACACATAGATGAATGGGAATGATTGGCGGGGCGTATAACACATAGACAAATGCAGGTCAAGAAGGCACTTCATTCGGACGTCAATTCAAGCGAGCACGCTCCACTCTGTAAGCATCGATGCATTCTTGGGAGATGTTGTTTTGATAAGGTCATTCTTGTCAGAATGTTTCCAAATTGGCACTTCAACTTCTTGCACCATCATCTGCCTGGATCAGAAGGATCGGGTTCAGAGGTGTCCTAATGTTGCCTTCCAACACAACACTTTGCCACATCAGGTGATTGGCATGTCTCCGTCCAAGCTCGAGCAATGACATCCGACTCATTTTCCCGCAGATTCGGTTGAGTCTGATGTTCCTGAAATGCTTGCACATCAGCGCAGGATGCGTGACCTGATCTTCGAGTTCCAAGGCAATATGTAGAATGTGCAGAAACACATGAAACAGCAGGCCATCCAGCATCAGTTTCAAGAGGGTGACTTAGTATGGGTGTCTGTTGAGGAGTTTCACCTGGGAGCAAGAAATATTGCACAAGCGCCTCTTCAAGTAGATCAAGCGTTGTCCGATTCTGTGTGCAGCTGACAATCAGCTGATAAACATTCGTAGTTTTCAATGTGCCCCCTCACCTACATGTACGTCCAGCCTGTCATGCGTCAAGGCTCATTCCTTTCACTTCAGCAGAGGGCGACTTCTTCCCCCAACAATGTTTGCAGTGTTACGATCCTGGTCATTTCCCAAGTGCAAATTCACAATGAAAGACAATGCCACCCAATTGCGAAAGAAATGAAAGCACGTGCAAAGAGATAAAGACCAGAGGAGAGGTGAAGAAGAAGAAGAAGAAGAAGAAGAAGAAGAACACCAGCAAGACCAATGACAATTCCCCCTTCTCTCTCCACCTTCCTCCTTCCTCCTCTTCACTAATCTTATTCTTCTCTCAATACTAATACTAACAATGAATGGATGAACCAGAATCAATGTCCGAAGTTCCCTCTTACTGCTGACTCAGCTCACAACAATCAACAACAACAACAAGTCCACCGTGGCTATGGCTTCCCTCCTTCAACCTCCTCTCTCATGCATAGGCCATGGCGGACTACTAAGAGGCAGCTATAGTGCTGCGCTGAAGTCCGAAAGACAACCCAAGCAGCTATGCCGCTGCTGACTTGGTCCGCTATGCCTGACTCTGCCTCAAGCTGCCCTGGTGCAGCGCTACCCCAACTGGGGCCTTCCAGATGCAGCGCCCAACAAGGTGATGAAGATGGTGTCCACCATAGCCAGGTAAGTGCCCTACCACTCTCCTACCATGCCCCCTTCTTCCTCCTCCTCAAGCTGGGGTGCTCGCCATAGCCAGGCTGAGCCCCAGCGGACCTTCACCTCCAAGCAGC